CCCGCGGAGATCTTGATGGCTTCTCCACGGGGGTTCCCAGATCGATGCCGCCCGCGCTCTCTTTGAGTACTGGCTGACGGGTGGCGGGCGCCGCGCGCCAGCCTGGTTCGCACCTCCTCCTCCTTGCTCTCGGCATCTGCCAAGGCCGCTGCCATGTCCGCTAGGTACGTGTTGGCCTCGTCCAGCTGCGACATGGCCTCCCTGGTCCATTCCTTGGCATCCTCGAGCTTGGCCTTAGCTTTGCGTGTCGCAGCGGCCGCCCACCAGTGCTCTTCCTCAGGTAGGGCTGGGGCCCGAAAAAAATTCGTCCGGGGCTGCGCCTTGAGCTGGGTGCGCAGGGTCTGCATAGTGTCCGTGTCGATGCACTCGGCCAGCACGCCAAATGCGTCTTCCGTAAGGATGCCGTCGTCGTCGCCCGTCGGGTTGATCACATCGGCGAGCTCGTCCCAGTCCTTGGCCCTCTCCCTGCGTGTCTTTTTTCCTGGCCGCCACCTGCCACCTTAGTGGGCCCTGGAAACGACAAGGCCGTTTTTTTTACCGGTTCCGTTTTGCCGTTTTTTGCCGGTTCCGACGCCGTTTTTGTACCGGTTCCGTCGCCGTTTTTGTGACCGGCTCCGGCTCCGGTTCCAATCCTGGAGCCATTGCTTTGCCGCTTCCGGTCGCCGTTTTTGTTGCCGCTTTCGTTTGCAAGGGACATCTTTGGGGGAAACGTTAAGAAAAAACGGCCCCGCCGTTTCCGGGGCCCACAAAGCCTGCCACTGGTCCTCGTCCTGCTGAGGCCCCAGACCCCCGACGTCATGATTTTTTCATGACGCGACCCCCAGAGGTCTGTCTGGACCCATTCGCCAGGACCGGTTTTTCGTCCTGAGTCGTTTTTTGACGGTCCCGAGGCCCGGCGAGGGCCCCCGGAGGCCGAAAATAGCGAAAAACCTCCCGTCGTGATCTTTTCACGACGCGAGGAGGTCTGGGGCCGTGGCCACGGTGGCGGCGACGGGGCCGTGGCCATCAATGGCGGGCGGGGGGCATCGCCGGGGGAGGAGCGCGGGTCGTCCCCGTGCCGGTGTGGGTGGGGGCGGGGCATCGCGGGAGAGCGGCAGGCGGAGCCCGCTGCCCCTGCGGGGGGCCCCACGGCAGCAGCTGGGGGGCAGAGGGCGCATCCACAATGGCAGCATGCCAACTTGACACGATAGCGCGTGCGCTGAAACCGGCTGCACTTCGCACAGGGGAGACATTGCGGGATAGGGGTCACGAGCCCCTGGCCGTCTTAACCCTAGATGCTGCCAACCCTAATACACACGCCCCAATCGTTCGAGCTGGGGGACAGAGGGCGCATCCACAAGTGCAGCATGCCAACTTAACACACAAAAGTTCCGCTTGTACAGTCGGGGCGTTGGCCTAAGGAACGGTACATGAGGAACGAGGCCCCGTCTTCCATAAGTTGACCTTCGATTTCCTGTCGAAAGCATAAGGAAAGCCTGAGGCAAGCTGTGAAACACTTGAGAAACGCGGAGCCCCTCCCCAACGAACAGGGTTCCTTCTTCAGGGCCCCGACTGTATTGAAACTGGCTGCACTTCGCATCGGGAGACCTTGCGGGATGGGGTCGCGAACCCCTGGCCGTCTTAACCCTAGATGCTGTCAACCCTAACACACACACACACACACACACACACACACGCGCCCCAATCGTTCGAGCGAGGTTGGAAGTTCAGGAGAAGGCCCGTGGAGCCAAAATGGCCACGGGAGGGGGGGGGAAGAGGAGCAGGAGGCGGAGGAAAAGGAGAAGGGAGGGAGGAGGGAGAGAGAACGCGGAGCGCTGCAGACTCACAAAGAGGACCCCACACCACAGAATGGTTGGGGAAAAACGTCAACGGCTACAAGGACGAATAGTCGGCGAGGTGGCGTCCAGAATGCGGCTCTCGCTTCGGCACCGCGCACATTCGTGCTTCAAGTTCTCGGTGGTGTTTAAACCACGGCTCTCTCAATGGCGCCGAACACTCGCGTTGAAAGCTTCCAACCGCCACAAAGGTGAAGGGCAATTCGTTGAATGCTGTTTCCGTGCACTCTGTGACCCAGAGTTCTAAATCCCAACACAGCCCTTTAGGTTACGCTGGCCTGACGAATTCATCCGTTCCTCTTCCACAAATCCCCTTCCCTTCGGTGAGTGGTACCCTCCCCATCCCCTCCCTGAAGTTTTCGTTTCAGCGGGCCGCGAGTGGTTAGAATGTCCAAGATGGCCCAAGATGGCTCCGAGATGGCCTCCAAGGCGGCTTAAGGTAGCCGAAGATCGTTCAAGATAGCTTCCGACATACCTCCAAGAGGCCCGTCGAGGGCCACAAGACGGTTCCAAGTGCTCCCGGAGCCCCCACCAGGACCCCCAGCCCCCAGGAGGCCGAACCAACCCGTTCAAACACTTAAGGAAAGTAAGTGATGTGTGCCTTCTCGCCTGTTCGCTTCCGATGCGCTTTTGAGGCCTCGAGATTTCCCCGAGATGGACCAAGAGAGCCCCAAGAGGGCCCCAAGCGGCCCCCTGACGGCCCCAGGAGCGCCCAAGAGCGGTCCAATAGCGCCCCAAGAGGGCCCCAAGAGGCGATGTTGAGGGCTCTAGGGGGGGGCTAGATCGGGGACCCCTCCCTCGTTTGATCGATGGCCTCCAAGATGGCCTCAAGAAGCCCTCCAGGGCTTCCAAGGGGCTCCCAAGAGGGCCCAAGAGGGCCCCAAGAGGGCCCAAAGATGGCCCCAAGAGCGCCCAAGGGCGCCCCAGGAGCGTCCCAAGAGGGCCTCAAGATGCGTGTTCGATTGTTGTGTGAAAAGGAGAACCGAGGACCCCGCCTCCTTTGACCGACGCCCTACACGATGGCCCCAAGAAGCCTTACAAGGTGACTAACAGGGCACCAAGAGCCCCAAGAGGGCCCGATGGGGGCCCAAGACGGCCCAAGACGGCTCCAAAAGCGCCCAAGGGCGCCCCAAGAGCGCCCCACGAGGGCCTCAAGAGGCGCTGTGTCTCCTCCTCCTCCTCCTCCTCCTCCTCCTCCTCCTCCTCCTCCCCCTCCTCCTCCTCCTCCTCCTCCTCCTCCTCCTCCTCCTCCTCATCATCATCATCATCATCATCAGCAGCAGCAGCAGCAGAAGCAGCATCATCAGCATCATCCGCATCATCATCATCATCATCATCAGCAGCAGCATCATCACCTACATCAGTATCAGAAGCATCATCCGCATCATCAGCATCAGCATCATCACATCATCACCAGCAGCATCCTCATATTCATCCCCACCCTCATCCTATCCTCATCATCATCCTCCTACTCTTCCTCCTCCTCCTCCTCCTCTCCTCCTCCTCCTCCTCATCCTACTCCTCCTCTTCCTCCCCCTCCTACTCTTCCTCCTCCTCCTCCTCCTCCTCCTCCTCCTCCTCCTCCTCCCCTCGCCCCCCCCGAGGGCCCCAGGGATGGCCCGAAGAGGCCCTCCGAGGCTACCCCCCTTGCTCCAAGAAATCTCTCCTTGTTCATCCTCGTTGCCCGCACTGTTTCACTATATGTGTCTCTGCGTCCCTTTTCCCGCCAGCTCTCATGGGCAACGCTTCTGAAAAGGCGGGTGGGGATGCACGAAGCTTGAAGAATTGTGCAACATTTACGCGGATGGGTGCGGCTTCTGTCCAGAATGGGACTCTCAATTGAGACGTTCGCAGATGCGATGACCAAAACTTTGACCTTCTGCCATCCTTACAGGGATGGAGGACATACCCTTTTCATTCAAAACGGGCCTACCGCCGGACACATCATCAGACTGTGTCATCATACCTCCTCGTGCTCCTTTTTTACAAGTCGGTGTTATCCCTGGGCCTGCCCTGGAACTGTACAGTCGGGACGTTGACCTAAGGAACCCTACATAAGGAACGGGGCCCCTTTCTACCATAAGTTGAACTTCGACTTCCCATGGAAAACCTCAGGAAAACAGAAGGCAAACTGTAGGACAATCAAGGAACACCGAGCCCCTCCCCAACGAAAAGGGTTCCTTCTTCAGGGCCCCGGCTGTATGACCTACCTCTGTGCTCCTTTCGGCTAGGAGGAGGGAAGGTGGACCCTTGATAAAAAAAGAGGGCCTCGCGCGAGTGGCAGGCTCCCCGGGCGCTCGTCATTCAAGGAGGGGGGGCGCCTCCCGCCAATGGAAAGGCATGCCCGGAGAGACCGACGAGGGGGCCCGAGGCTGGAGAGCGTGTCTCAGCATCGCTGATACCATCCTGGGCTTCCTCTGGCCCTCCCTCCTCCTCGTCAGCAACCTCCTCCTCCTCCTCCTCCTCCTCCTCCTCCTCCTCCTCCTCCTCCCTCCTCAACGCTTCCTCCTCCTCCTCCTCCTCCTCCTCCTCCTCCTCCTCCTCCTCCTCCTCCTCCTCCTCCTCCTCCTCCTCCTCCTCCTCCTCCTCCTCCTCCTCCTCCGCCTCCTCCGCCTCCTCCTCCGCGCAGGAAAAGCATCCCCTGGGCGGCTCAAAAAGCGGCGCGCCCTTGCCGCCACACAAACGGCAAAACGGCACACGCGCGCACCTGCGATGTGACGATTGGCCAGACCAAGCTCAACCGATTATGATGGACGCCCCTCCCTAGAGGCCTCCAAAATGAGGCCCGAGTACTTGCCATCGCTCGAGCGTCCATTCCCCGTGACTGTTTCGGATTCGTGCGTATGGTTTTCGCCACATGGTCCAAGGTGCTCCTCGATGGTCCTCACAGGAAAAAACAACAACAGAAAACGTCCGAGCGATGCCAAAGGAGAAAATAGCGTCGAAGGATCTCGCCGCATCGCCGATGCATCGGCGACGCCAGCGTGGAGAAAATCGGGCTCCACATCGAGCCGCATCGCCGGATGCATCGGCGACGCGGCGCGACCCACCGGCCCCTCCTGCTCGGACCCCATCCGGGAGGCCCGGCCTCCACGGGCCATCGTTGCCTAGCCCTCGTTGCACCCTATCTCCGTGGTCTCTGCCCCCGCTGCCCGCAGCGGCGGCCTGAACCGTCGGAGGAGTCTCCTCGAGGTCCGCGAGGATCTTCCTCTCGAGGTCCATCACGTAGCGCTCCTCGACTCCCGCGTCGAGGTCCGCGTCCGAGAGGATCCTCCCCGCCAGGTCCGCGAGCACCTTCTTGTCGACTTCCGCGTCCGCGTGCGCGCGGGCCCCGTCGGAAGGCCTCGCCCCCGCCCGCCCGGGCCCCCCCGCGCGCGCGCGCCCGACAGACTGCGCCCCAGCGGCCAGCTGCGCGACGAAAGGGAGCGGGCCTCACGCAAGACGGCGCAGCGACCCTACGCGGAGGCTCACGCTGGCCGCCAGCGCGGCACGCCGCATCGGAAGCGGGGGAGCCTGCGCGCGACCTCGCGCAGGCAGTCTGCGCGGGAGTGTCCGCGCAGTCGTCGAGCCCCTTGCTCGGCGTCGCTCGGCTGTCGCGATGCCGCCGCAGGCAGGAGGCGCTCCAGCTTGGGAGTCCAGGGGCCTTCCTGCTGCGAGAGCGCGCGAGCTCCACGCGGCCAGGCGGATCAACGACAGCGGCTCCAGTGGGCCCGATCCGGGAGCAGGGTGCTCCCAAGACAAATGGCGAATGCCGCACGCGCAGTGCACGTCAACGTACCAGTCTGCAACGTCCTGCCGAGGAAGGGAGCACGAGGGAAGAGCGCAGGGGCCCCCAGACTCGCGCAGAAGGAGAAAGAGGAGGGACCCCACAGACCTCCGACGTCGTGTTTTGGTTTCAATTACGTGGCCCTGGGGCTCTAAACCTCAAAACCAGGGAGACGTTTGTCGCCCCAAGCCGTTTAGTCGACGGCCCCGGGAGCCAGAAACGGCCCATTGGACGCCAGAGGTGGCACAAACAAAAACTCCACCTTGGTGTTGTTCAAGACGATGGGGGTCTGGGGAGGAAGGACGAGGAGGAGGATCGGGTCGGAAGACAAGGGGGGAGGGGCCACTCAGCTCACGCAGCGGGTCTTCCCTGCGCCGCCTGGCACCAGAGGCGCCCATGACATTGAGGACAATGCCGGGCGGCGGGGCCGAAGCCAGCTACCTGCAGCACGCAGCAGAATTCGCACCCACCCCCCTCGCCCCTGTCGCACGCTCGTTCGACCGGAGAGGAGGACGTGGACAAGGAGGGGCCCGCGACAGATCACACCCTGAGCTGGCGAACACTGCTGGGACGGCTGGACACCCTCCCGCTGCCCAGGGCGGCCTCGTCTGCCGAGCCCTCGCGACAATTCCAGGCCCTCACCAGAGGAGGAAGACAAGAAGGGGATGAGGCACGCGCTTGACCAGGAGGAAGAGGGGGGCGACCACAACGACGATCATCGCGCAAGCAAGTACACCCTGCGAAATGCTTAAGAAATCATGGGTTAAGAAATTCATAGTCTCAGAATTTAATTAAAACCCAGAATTTCTATCAACATCTTAGGAATTAAATTGAAACATTAAGAATAATCGAGACTCTGGCCGAAAACTTAAGTTTTCTTGAGCATCGCCTAAGGTGTACTCTGACAAGCTGCTGTAACCTTCACTGGTTTCTCCCACTCACTTGCGGCCACACACCAAGTCTGTGAACCAAGCCCCTTTCTTGGGAGGGGGCTTCGTTTCAGACCAGCCCCTGAGAGAAGCACTGAGCAGTGCGCTCTGCATGCGCACCACGCCGGTGTGGTCGCCATGCGAGCTGACGCGCCCGCGGCAACTCACCAGATTGGGTGAATTGCGACGAAGCCGCAGCAGAAAGCGCCGTTCCTGAGTTTGGGGGCCTCTGGGGCTTCTCAGAGTAAGTTGTGAGGACGTATCGAGGGGGAGCCGTTGTTGTCGCAGCTGGGCTTTCACAAACTTGAAGGAATTGCGAGGACGTCTCAGGCGAGAGCGCCATGTCTGACTGAGGTCATGCACGGGACCACAATGCGCGCGAGCAAATTCAGAGGATGTATCGAGCGGGAGCCGTTGTCGTCGCAGCTGGGCCTTCACCAACTTGAGTCCATTGCAAGGAAGTGTCGGGCGAGAGCGCCGTTCCTGACTTAGGAGATTTCTCCAGCCAAGGCGTCTCGGAGTAAACTGTAGGTAAGTATCAAGCGAGAGACGTTGTCTTCGCAGTTCTGCCTTCACCAATGTTAAGTGACTTGCAAGGTGTCTCAAGCGAGAGCGCCGTTCCTGATCTCGGGGGCCTCGCTGGCCAGGCCTTTTATCGTCATGGTTGAGGCATCAAAGACTAGGATTGGGAACCAAGCCCGCGCTCGAGAGGGAAGGTCGCTTTCGGAGAAAATGTAGCCAGCGTCGAGACGAGAGCAACCGGAACCCTTTTCATACATTAACAACAAATATTCTCTAGATATGAACGTTCGAGGACGAGGACAACCCTCTCATTGGGTGGGTGGGCGGCTCGAGGTAACGCTGGAGGATCGAAGACGCGCGGTAAAGAGATGTATAGTTGTTGTTGCCCCGTGGGCCTCTGGGGGAGGCTCTGCCAGGGACCTCAGGAGACTCCCGCAGACCTGCGTAGACCTAACTAGTCCAGAGGCATCTGGCCGCCTCCACCAGTGGATCCAGGAGGCAAGCCCCGAGCGGTGGCCAACTCTCCATCGGCGAGATGACCACCGCAGGAGGGGCTCATGGCGGCGGTGGTTGCCAATCAGTTCTTGGCGCGCGCGAAGGGCGGTAGGGGAAGAGCCCAACCACGTGTGGCGCGCGCGAGCGAGCCGCGAAGCCTGGAATCGAGGCTGCCTTCGATCGGGCCCCGCACGCCCGATGACGCCGGCCTCGGGCCTCGGCGGTCGTGGGCTGACGGGCGTGCGTCGGGCAGCAGGCATCAATGAGGCCGTCCCTCGTGGACCGGGTCGCGGGGCAAGCCGAGGCCAGCAACCCGGATCGACGGCAGGAAGTCGCTCGCCCATCTCCCCCACCAGCGTGCCTCCCTGCGCCCAGGGAGGGCTTCCCGTCCAAGCCTGGCCGCATCTCTCCCAGACCCCCCCTCCTGAAGTTCCCCTGCGGCTGGAAGCCCTCCTGCGGCTGGAAGTTCACAGTGTTGTGCAGCGCCACTGCCGTTTTTGCCTGCGCGTGGCCAGAATCACTCCTACTGGCGAGCGCTCCCCACCACAGTCGAAACTGCGAGCGTCGCATGGGCACGAATCCAAGCGCCCATGTACATGCAAACATGTCCAAGAGCTCCGTGTGCACACTTTCAAACATGATGTGGGCAACGCATGAAGCACCACGGGAACTGTGTGAGACGATGATACACATCCTGGCCGCAGCTGGAGCACAAATACAATCAAGCAGGCACAACTCTAAGAGACAGACAACAACAAGAAACACGTTCACTCCTTATCCTCCTCCCGTCCTCCTCTGCAGCCCCGCTAGTATTCGTTCATCTGCGTCCGCGTCGACATCCTCGTTCGACCCACCCACCCCTGTTTGCCTCCCCTCTATTCCACACCCACCACGGGACAACCACAAGACAACCACAGGACAAGCACGGGACAACCACGGGACGGCCTCGGGACCACCACGGGACAACCACAGGGCAACCACGGGGCAACCACAGAACAACCACGGGACCACCACGGGACCACCACGGGACAACCGCGGGACGGCGGCGGGATGACCCCAGGACCGCCGCGGGACAGCCACGGGACAACCACGGGGCAACGACGGGGCAACCGCGGCATGGCCCGGCGGCCGCACCACGCAACTCGTCCTGGCGCGGCCTGGCCCCGGCCGCTGCAGGAACGCGCAAGGGCCACGCCCCGCAGCTCGCCACGCGCGGCGCGGGCCGACGCCGAGACCCCGTGCCGCGCCGGCCTCGCCCCACGTGCTCCGAGGTGGCCCCGGCTCTCCCGCGCCCCTCGCCCGGTCCCCCCCCCCCCCCCGCCCGCCCCTCGCGGCGGTCCTGTGCTCTCCCCCCTCGCCGGCTCCTCGCCTGCCCCCCCCCCCCCCCCCCCCCGCGGCTCGCCCTCCGCCTGCGCCCCCGCCCCCTCGCCCCCTCCCCCCCCCCATTGGGCGCCGCTCTTCCCTGTCCTGCCCTCCCCCCCCCCCCCCTCCCATCCACAGTGACACGATATGCATACCACTCTCCTCTCTCCCCGGACTCTGTCCCGAGAGTGTCCCCCGTCCTCTCCGCGTATTGTTTGTGTACAAACAGGACATCATGGTTTGGTTGTTTGTCCTGTGTGTTTGCTTCAATATGGTCGTTTCTGGTTCTTCTAAAAAGGTGTTCCCGCTGCAGTGCCGCCCGCATTTCCGCGCTTCGCTCATTCAAAATCGTGCTCCCGTTCCAGCGCTGGCCTCGTTCCCGCGCCTGGGGACGGCACTTCGCATTCGAAAGCGCCCACAACGGGCAGGCACGGTTGCGGAGGACATGGAGCCGGCATTCCGGACAGGCCCTGTCCGCTCGTAGACGTGCCACTTACCCTCCAAGTCGTCCAGTGCCATGCCACGGCATGCAATGCGATGCTGTGTTGTGCACCGCTGTGCGATGCCATGCTTTGCGTTGCTATGCTTTGTGATGCAATGCTTTGTGATGCAATGCTTCACTGCGCAATGCCACGCCGTGCTACGACATGCTTTGACATGCGTGCTCTTCTACGCCATGCTTTTCCATTCATCGCGTACCCTCTTGGGATCATGGCCCTGCTCGACATCCGACTGTGCGAATAGATAGGAGATCTACACCATAGCAAGGGATGGGATGGCGGGGTAGGACCTCAGATGTGACGCGTGCGAACCTAGCTTGCCTCCCCTCCATCCCTTCCCTCCCCTCCACTCCCATCCCGTGTCTCCGACTCCCCCCTCCCCTCCCCTGCGTCGCCCTCCACAAATGCCCTCCCCTCCCGCCTCATCTTCATGTTCCCCACCACGCAGACAGCCATGGCCATGGGGGCGCAGGGCAGTTGAGGGTGCAGGACTCCGTGTGCGCCCGTGGCGATGGGGCCGCTGGACCCCTGCAGCACCCTTGGGCACTCGGCTTGGCCGAAGGCGGGCTGGGCAGGCAGGGATCCACGGGCGGGCTCGACAAAGCACTGCAACCGTGTACTGCCTTGTGCGACCGTAGCCTTTTCCCCCCTCACACCCCTCCATGCTGGGAGACAACTCCGGGGAGGTCTTCGTCAGAATAGAGCTGTGGAGCCCGCTGAAAATGGCCGGCGAGCCTGGCTAGGCCGGATTCAACCCGGGTTCAAGCCAGAGTAAGCGAGCTCCCGCCGGATGAGGCAGGGCCAGCGCGGACCAAGCGGGACCACGCCAAGTTAGGCCAGCTCTCGGCCAGGGACATACCAGCGCCGATTATGAACTCGGCCTCCCGGGAGTTGCATCCCAATCTCCATGCTCCCGGCTGACGGAACACGAGCAATAACAGGCAAACAGAGAAGCTCTGATCGCGGAGGGGTGTCCCTGGCGGCAGCCGCCGCGAGGGCCGCGCGGAAGACCCGCATGGCCGCCGCGCGGGGGTGGTCGATAGATACGTACGGAGTGTGAGGGGCTCGGGGCGCAAAGAGCACGCTTCAGAGGGTCAACGGACGACACACGCTCAAACCTATGGGGAGGAGGAATGGGGAAGGGCAAGGCGATGAACGCGCTATATGCGAGGAGGGGATTGATCAATATCCACCGCCTGGGAACCGACGTCCTGGTGGCCCAGCGGGCGGTGGATATGGATATATTTTAGCCCCCAGAGGCCCGAATACATTCACATCCAGGGCCTGTCGAGGTCCCCGAAAATTGATCCTCCAGGCGGTGGTCATGTATAAATTCCCCCCTCGGACTAAGGTATGGGTGCAAGCTGTCGGACCACAAGGGGGTTTCCCGTTCGAGCGGTGACCCCATCTGTCAAAACGCACCCACAGCCCCCCCCACCCAAAAAAAAAATCCACCCCAGACATTCTAAAGGACGGGGCGTTAGCTGTCAGCTCGTGATCAGAGGGGAGGAAGAGGAGGGCCAAAGCAAACACGGGGTGCATCCGCGATGCTGCAATTCACCCTCTGGGCCCAAGCCGATCACGCAAGACGAAAGACCCTGCCACCACTCCCCTTCGCCTCGGACGCGGGACGAGAGCCGCACGAGCGCGCCGATCAAGCGCGCACCCCGCTCTGATGAGGGACTGCCCTCCACCCGTGCCGCTGCTGCAGAGAGCCAAGCTTCTGGAAAAACTCGAAGGGAACAACTCGAATTGGGGGCCTGTAAACGAGCACCAACACCAACACAGGGGGTTTTCCTCCACAGGGGGAAGATGATCTCAGATTTCGGTGTTGGTTGTGATATGTCGGTCACCTTGGAAGCCAGAATTTGACCAACATCATCGAGATCGGGATCGTCTTCCCTCGGTGGAGGCACACCGCCGTTCTTGGTGTTGGTGTCAACCTCTGGGCCTGCGATCGAGGGCTTCTCCGGCGAGAGCCCCGCTGCGAAGAGGCATCTCGCCCTCCAGCCGTGCAGTGGTTGCAAGACCGGGCACCCCAGAGGGGAACGGTGGCGAGGAATCAAGCGAGAGTTCCGCTTGGGCATGGAGACACCCACCATCCATGCACATGCTAGAGGCTGTTAAAACAAATGTGCGCGCGCGAAACAGAGAGAGAGAGAGAGAGAGAGAGCGAGCCACGTTTCGAAAAGCAGCTGCCCTCAGCGCAAATCCTGGCAAGTTCCAGGTTCTTCCTGTAAACGCCGAGCAGGTCTCAGGCGAAACGCCCGTCCCACCCTGCTGGGACGGTGGAGGCGAGGCAGGAGGACGAGGAGGAGGAGAAGGAGAAAGAGCAGCAGGAAAAGGAGGAGGAGGGAGGAGGTTGGAGCGCCTGGGGGGAAAGAGGATGAGGAGGAGGCCGAGGAGGAGGAGGGGGCACCAGCAGCAGGAGGAGCCAGCAGCACAACGCAGCAGCAGGGGGAACAGCAGGGCGTACGGGGAAGGGTGAGGACGAGGGAAGAGGCAGGAGCGAGGAGAAGGGAGGAAGGAGATGTGAGCGGGGGGAAGGAATGCCCTCAGGCCCGGGCATCCCCAAAAAATCGCGGCGGCGGGGATTTCCACAGTTTCGGCCTCCAGAGGCCGCCTCCAGGCCAAAATGCCGCCAACGAATTGACTACTCGGAATGACAAGACCGGGAAGAAGTCGAGATCTGGCGGGGGGAGCGCATCGCGAAACAAATGCGTCGTCGGAGGAGAGGGAAGAAGGGATGTAAGGGCTTCGGAGCTGAGGGTGCCCGACCCGCAGCTGCAGCAGGACGGCCACCTCCCTGCTGCTGGTGCATCCCTCCTCCTCCTTCTCCTCCACCTCATCCTCATCATCATGATCAGCAGCATCATAAACATGGTCATCATCATCATCATCAGCAGCATCATCATCATCAGAATCATGAGTATCGTCAGCATCATCATCAGCAGCATCATCATCGTCATCATCAACAGCAGCATCATCAGCAGCATCGACATCATCATCATCATCATCATCATCATCATCATCATCATCAACAGCATCAGCATCATCACAAACATTATCATCATCAGCATCACCATTATCAGCGCAACCATCATCATCAGCAGCAGCAGCATCAGCATCATCATCGTCACCATCATGAGCACCATCATCAGATCACCATCACCAGCAGCATCATCATCACCTTCAGCAGCATCATAATCAGCAGCATCATCATCACCATCAATATCATCCGTCGCCTCCTCCTCCTCCTCGGCCTCCTCATTATCCTCCGTCTCCTCCTCCATAACCATCCATGTTCCTTATAAATAACTCCCCCCCAGCCGCACCCCGAGACGTGTCGGTTGGACGGGCCAGACATTTCGCCTGACACCTTCCCACCATTGGACTGGAACTGAAAAGTAAAAGTGCAACAGTCTCACGGATGGAAGCCAGATCGTTTTCACAATGTGGCTCTCGCCGTCGCGCCGCGCACATTCGCCTTGAAAATTTGCGAGTGCGTCACGGACGGAGGACGGATCGTTATCACGATGTGGCTCTCGCCATATCGGCGCGCAGAATCGCCTTAAAAGTTTGCAAGATCTTCACGGATGGAGGGCGGGCCGTTTTCAAAATGTGGCTCTCGCCGTCGCGCCGCGTACATTCGCCTTAGACGTTGGCCAGAACTTCACGGATCGAAGGCGGGTCGTTATTAGTATGTGGCTAGACCCTGCGTTCCGCGTGAATTCATCTTTAAAGCTGGCAAGAGCTTCACGGATGGAGGGCGGCACCTTGTCAAAATGTGGCTCTCGCCTGAGCGCCGCGCATGATCGTCTGAAGACAGAGTTGACAACAGTTTCGTGTAGTCCTGAGGTCGACTGCCCAGAGCTGGTGTTTCGGCACGATGTAGGACTGCCAGGGCGCAACAGTTGATTCGCGGTGTTGAAATCCCAGGACTGATGTCCTGGCACGACTCAAGATCGCTAGGACGCAACAATAACGCTGATTCGCGGCATTGAAGTCTCAGAACTGGTGTTCTGGCACGGCTCAGGATTTGCAACAGTTGTCGTCCACCGGGGAACTTCCTTCAGTGGAAATGATTCCTTGCAGGGACGGATGAATGGAGGGGGAGCTTGGAGGAAGGGATTCTGGCAACATCGCTTATCGAGTTTACACTGGTCCCCTCTTCCTCCTCCTCCTCCCACTCCTCATCCTCCGCCTTCATGTTATTACTAGTACCCTGCTTATTCTTATTAGAATGATTATTGGTATTAGTAGTGCTATTAAAAATTGCCTTATTGTTACTGGTAGCATGAATAATACTCTTCGACTTCGTATGAGTACTAGTCTTCTTTAATCGTCTAGTATTACGAATGTGCATGGCCGTCTGTGTAATATTCCTGTTATGCTTATTATTAGTATTATCCGTAGTTTTATTTCATATCGTAATAATATGCTTCTTCTGATTGTTATGATTATTCGATTATTCGTATGTTTATCATCCTCCTCCTCCTCCTCCCCCTCCTCATCCTCACCCTCCTCCTCCAGCCGCTCCACCTCCTGACCATCCTGCTCCTCCTCCTCCTCCGCCTCATCATCCTCCTTCTCCTTCTCCTCCTATTCGTCTCCTGATCCTCCCTTCTCCTCCTCCCCCTCCTCCTCCTCCTCCTCCTCCTCCTCCTCCTCCTCCTCCTCCTCCTTTTCCGCCTCCTCCTCCCCGCCCCCTATCCTCTCCTCCTCCTCCTCCTCCTCCTCCTCCTCCTCCTGCCTCTTCTCCTCCTCCTCCTCCTTCCTCCTACTACTACTACTCCTCCTCTTCCCCGCCCCCCCCCCCCCCCCCCCCCCCCCCTCGTCCTCCTCCTCCTTCTCCTCCTCCCCCTCCTCCTCTTCCTCCACCGCCTCCGCCTCCTCATCCTCCCCCTCCGCCTCCTCCGCCTCCGCCTCCGCCTCCGCCTCGCCTCTGCCTCCTCCTCCTCTCCTCCTCCTCCTCCTCCTCCTCCTCCTCCTCCTCCTCCTCCTCCTCCTCCTCCTCCTCCTCCTCTACCTCCTCCTCCTCCTCCCTCTCCTCCTCCTTCTCCTCCCCCGCCTCCTCTCATTCATTCCTTTTCCCTGATGAATAGCTCCTCCCTGTCGCACCCCAGGGCCAGTCGGAAGGTCGGGCTGGACGTTTCGCCTGAAACTGCGTTGCCAATTATGATCCTGAAGCTTACGAAATGAAAGGAACAAGCTTCATACAAAAAGAGCGGACCGCTTCCAAAATGCGGTTCTCGCTTTAGCGCCGCGCCAATTCGCCTAAAAAGCTGCCAGAGCCTCACATATTGAGGGCGGGCCGTTCTCAAAATGTGGCTCTCGCCTTCGCGCCGCGCACCCTCAACTTAAACAGTTGCACGGCCTTCATGGCTTGAGGACGAATCGTTTTCAAAATGTGGATCTCGCCTTGGCGCCGCGCACACTCGCTTGTGAAGATTCCACTAGTGTCATACAATAGAGCGCGCTCCGTTTCAACATGTGGCTCTCGCCTTCGCACCGCGAGCATTCGTTCTCTCAAATGCTGCAGGAACTTCACGGAATAACATGTCGAACGTACCAGCATGGCGTGCTGGAACGATTCAAGGTTGTTAGGGCGCCGCAATTACGTTGATTCGCGGTGATGGAATATCAGGAACAACAGTCGTGTTGACTCGTGGCACTGAAGTCCCGAGATTGGTGCGTTGGCACGCTTCAGGATATTCAAACTGTTGTCCCCCAACGGGACACATCCCTCGGTGGAATCGAACTCTTGTAGGGGCCTACGAAGAGGGAGCATGAAGGGAGGGTTTATTTCAACATCGTTGATGAATAGTGGGTGTACCATAGTTCTCCTCCTCCTCCTCCTCCTCCTCCTCCCCCTCCTCCGTCTCCGTTTCCGTCTCCGCCTCCTCCTCCCCATCATCATCCTCCAGTGCGTAGCGTAGCCCTTGGGAGATGGACTGTGGCGCCTCAGGGGCATAGGAACGCGCCCAAGGGGGGTAGGGGGGGTGAGGGGGGCAAGTAACGTGGAAGGAGACAGGAGGGAAGGGGAGGAGGACGAGGGCGATGGAGCAGACCTGGCGGAGGGGGCGGCCCGACTCAACTGTCTGAATGGGGATCTGCCCACTGGTCCGGAGGAGGAGGAGAAGCAGGAGGAGGAGAAGGAATAGGAGGAGGAGGAGGGGAGGAGGAGGAGGAGGAGAGGAGGAGGAGTGGAGGAGGAGGAGGAGGAGGAGGAGGAGGAGAACGAGGAGGAGGAGGAGAGGAGGAGGAGGAGCAGGAGGAGGAGAAGCAGCAGCAGCAGCTGGAGCCACGGCAGCGGGAAAGAGGAGGGGGCCCGCAGGGGCGGCGCAGACTGGACAGAGGGGGCAGCACTGGATGATCAGGGTCACCTGTCTTCGCGCTCCTGCGGGAGGACAACTCCCACGGCCCAGGCTTGCGACGCGCGAAGCGCATTCGTCTTCGTGACCCTGTGGGTAGCCCAGGTGATGGCCGCACGGGGCGCTGCCATTCGGCCCCGAGCCGAGGGAAACAAATGTATGTCGCACCCAGGCGACTCGAGCAAGAAGGGCGGCGAGGCGTGGTCGTGCCCACCGTGCGTCAATGGCGGCCATGGACAATGCCGTCGCCGCGATGCCCCGCGGGATGCGCGAACTTGACCATGGTCACCGTCACGGCTACCGTCGCCACCGACATGGTCAACGGAGGCGGAGGCGTGCCTGAATCATCGCAGTCGCCATGGCCACGAGCATGACGAGCTTCCCCCTCCCCCTCCTTCTCATAACACCCCAGTTCCTTCTCCCCATCCTCCTTCTCCTCCTCCTCCGCCGTCTCCTCCTCCTCGTCCTCCTCCTACCAATCCCAGCCCACACGCCACTTCTTACCCCTTCTGCCCCTCCTCCTCCTCCTCCTCCTTCTCCTCCTCCTCCTCCTCCTCCTCCTCCTCGTCCTCCTCCTCCTCCTCCTCCTCATCCTCCTCCTACCAATCCCAGCCCACACGCCCCTTCTTACCCTTCTGCCCCTCCTCCTCCTCCTGCCTCCTCCTCCTCTCCTCTCCTCCACTCCTGCCTCTCCTCCTCCTGCTCCTCCTCCACCTGCTCCTCCTCCTCCTCCTCCTCCTCCTCCTCTGCTCCTCCTCCACCTGCTCCTCCTCCTCCACCTGCTCCTCCTCCTCCTCCCTCCTCCTCCTCCTCCTCCTCCTTGTCCCCCTCCTCCTCCTCATCATCCTCCTCCTGCTCCTCCTCCCAGCCGTTCTGGCAAAAGCAATGTGTGCGTGCGACCACCGATCTTCAGAACGGCTGGGTGTTCGCGAGCCAGAGTGGCTCGCCTTCCCCTCATTCCGCGCACACGGCGGCGCTTGGATTTCTCCTGGTGGTAGGCCTCGTAGCGTGGAGTCCAACACGCGGTGGACATGTGGCCACTGCCGATGCAAGAAGAACGATTTTAGCCTCAGGTGGTGCAAGCACTGCGGGAAGCACCGGAAGGAACATTTACCAGACGTGCCTGCTGATGGAGGAGCTCTTTCTGGAGGAGGAAGCGCCGTGGACGTACGCCGTGCGGCCGCAGACGCACCTTCAGGGAAGCCTCCACTCGCGCGCACGTCAGCAGCGACTGCGACCAAGAGCGAGCTCAAGCAGTTGGTGGAGCTCAGTGTCAAGGTCGGAGACGCGTCGCTGCTCTCCATGGCTCAGGCGAAGGTTGCCGAGCTCGAGGCAGCCCCTTCAAGGAGATCCAGAGGCTCGAGAAAAAATTGACCGTGACTTGGAGAGAGTGCACGCACTCGAGATCAAGCTGGCCCACCAACGCACTGACCTCGACAGCACGCTCCAAGAATTGGATCGGCATGATGCAGAATACAAGGTGGCGATCTCGGAGCTTCACCTGTCAGTGTCCAGGCAGGCCCGCGCGGACGCAGCGGCACATTCATCGCAGCCGACGCTCCGCCTGCAGGACATCCTGGACGGCAAGCTCACGTCCATCCTGGTGGACGACGACGACATGTCCGGCCTCGGCGAGTTCCAGGAGCTCTCCGCCGAGGATGTCCAGGAAGCCGAGAATCGCAAGCAGCAGCTGTCCGAGCAGATCACGTCGCTCACGACGAAGCTGCTCGGCGAAGTCCAGACGAAGTGCCACGCAACCAGAGATTGGCGGAGAAGAAGCGCGGAGTGGAACCTGGTGATGCAGCTGCTGAACCTGTTCGACCTCGTTCTTCTGAGCCCACGCTTAGTTCTGCCTCGCCGGCCTCAGCGCCTGCGGGCAAGGCACCGCCAGCTCAGCCAGCGAATCCTGCACAGCCGCTTGCGAACGTTCGCGAGCAGGCTCGTTTGGCAGTGTCGCGGGCGGCGGTGCCTCCCAAGGCGTCGGCTGCGGCGCCAGCAGCAGGCCCGCCCGCCAAGAGTGGGCCGTTATCCTAGCCACGATTGTGCCAGCCAGTCTCTGTCCCCCTACCCTGGACTTCCGACCTCCTGCCCAGTTTTGGATGCCCCACGGAACGCGTCTGCGCATCAACCTCGGGACCACGGAGATTTTGATAATGAACCGGTTGATTGGAGATAGTGACGGCTAACGCACATCCTGGTCGTCAATCACGAGATTTTTGAAGATCACCTCGGCGTACATTGTTCTTGTCCGGGAACACAAGCTGGTGCGCGACAAGGAGCTCAGGAAGGCTTCGGCCTGGTGCGTTCGAAATGGTTGGAAAGCTTGTCTCGAACCCGGCACGATGGGTCCAGAAGGGGGCCCAACGGCTGGGGTTGGGGTCCTGGCCCTACTCTTCCTTGGGATGCACCGCCCCGATGCTGGTTTCACGATTAGAAAAACATCGGGCTGTTGGTGCCCTGGCCCACCTCCCAGGTCAAGCCTCATTTTTTTGCGTCAGCGCATACCTGCAGGATTGTGTCGGCCTAAACCCCATCATTCAGGAGATTATGGCAGTGTTGGCGGCGCGCGCCAAGAGCTTGACGGTCCCGTTCATCGCCGGAGCTGGCTTCAACGTCGAGCCAGCGGCGATTGCAGGCGCGGCCTTTTCCCAAGCGGCTAGGAGCCGACATTGTGCACCCCACCGACGTTGTAGGAACTTGTCGCAGCACGGGGGGCGTGAAGATGCACGACTATTTCCTGCGCTGCCCCGCCTTGCGATGGCCATCAGGAGCGTGAAGATGGTTAGCGATTCGGAGTTGGCGACCCACGACCCCGTCTCCCTTACTTTCCACCCTTCGTTGGCCCCCCTCAAAGCTCTCACCTTTCGTCGGCCCCCCCCTTTCCGACCCAGCGACCTTGCGGGCCCTGCCCCGAACCCCCCCGCGAGTGGGAGTTCGTCGGCAGACTGGCGTCCCGAGCCTATGCTATGGCCGAGAACGGTAATCTGGATCAGTCTCAATATAACCTTGATACCCTCTACAAAGCGTGGGCCAACACGGCCGAAAAGGAGCTCGAGGGCGTGCACCAGCGCAGTCTCTCGCAGACGACAGGCGCAGCCTCGCTGGGTCAGTGGTTTGCCGCCCGACCAGGCCTCCATGGACGGCGTCTACGTCCCGCCTGGCTTCGCAGCTCCGCTGGCTTAGCAATCGTTTCAGGCTGTGGCTTCAGCTGCACGCCATTGGTGAGCAGCCCGAGCTGCAGTCTCCCTCCACCCCCCCGTTTTGCCTTAAGCGGCGTCGAAAAAAAAAGGTCTGGAAACGTCAAGCATGGCTCGGCGAGGAGCAGCCATCTGGCTAGGACGGCCGCTGAGTTGTTTAACCCTCCTGTCAGGCCTGGCGAATGGAGTGGCGAGGCCCACAACTTGCTTGTGCGATGCCAGGATGTAGTCTTGCATAGCCCGCCTGTGTCCCATGGGGCCGTTCCAGGGGGACCAGAGCACGCCCTTGACTCGGTCTCCCTTGCCAAGGCCGCGGCCGAGAGCGAATCCAGAAACTATGATCATAGGAAATGGGTCGAATGGTTGCGCACTAGCATCGAGGCGGGGGCCCGTCATGCGCACGGGGTTGTTAGGGGGGGCCCCGCTTGGACCCCCTCCACCACCCTCAGCTCGAAAGGGGAAGTGATTTCGGACCCTCAGGCTCTCCTTGTTGCTGAGTGCGCGAAATTCTCTGACCTCTGGCATGCAGGGGACGTGCAGGACCACCCACCCCCCTGGGGCAGGGTTGACGTCCTCGACCCTCTGCCAGAGCTTACACCTGATGACCTTCGCCGCGTCTCCGGGCCCTTCCCCAACCATGCGGCGGCGGCGACCTTAGCAACCTCCAGTGCCTCTCGGATCACGCGTTGATCGCGCTTTCCAGCTTGATCTCGACGATCGAACGATCTGGTCTGCCCCCGATGCAGATGAGGGCGTTGCGCTTGGTCATGCTCGCCAAACCCGACGGTGGCCATAGGCCGATTGGTATGTTTGCCTCGGTCTATCGTCGTTGGGCGCGCGCCCGAAGGGATCGCGCTCGGAGGTGGGAAGCTGCTAACAGTAGGAAACACTTTGCAACTAGCTCTTCCGCCTCGAGTGTGAATACAGCCTGGCGGCAGAGCGTTAGGAGCGAGCAAGCGGTCTCCTCCGACTTGTGCTCCAGCTCAGTACTGTGGGACCTCCTGAAGTTTTACGAGTCGGTTGACCTCGACCTACTGCTTCAGCGCTGACGCCAGCACGGTTTCCCGATGCAGACTGCCAGGGTTTGTGATACAGCGTACCGCGCCTGCCGCTACATGGCCATGAGTAGCAGGGCCGTGGTGCCCAAGTTCGCATGGCGTGGCATTGTGGCGGGCTGCGGGTTCGCGACCACGCTTATCCGAGTTTTCAGCTTAGCGGCCCTCGATAGCCTCAGCTTGCCAAGATCAGTCTCCCTTCGGATATCGATTGATGATTACACCTTATCTTGCCAAGGGTGTGCCAGCGTTGTCACCGATGACCTCCTTGAGGTGGCTTTAGATTGCAAGCGGTCATCGAGTCTGATCTTGGTTGTGCGACCGCTGTCAAGACGGCAGCCATCATCTCCTCGGCGCCCGCCGTTGCTAAGGCCGTACGCCAAGGTCTTGGCACCGTCGGAGGCACGCCGTTGGAGGCATTGACGACGCGGCTGGCAAGCCCCGTCGCGTCGAACGTCCAGGAGGTAAGATGAAGGCTCGGGGGATCCTGTTTCAAAAGAAGAAGGAGCGTCTTGGTTGTCACAAGTCGCCCCTCGGCCGCCACGCCAAACGTGTCTTCGCTTCAGGTGCCATGGCAAGCCTCACTTATGGATGCGAGATGCACGGCACCTCGGACTAGGAACTCGCCACGCTCAGGAGAGCACTGGGTAGAGTTGTGCCGCCCTCCGCTTGAGAGAGGTCTCTCACTGCAGCTTTGCTGTTTGCCGCCGACCCCACTTGGCATGCGTCGGTCACCCCGATTGCGAGGTGGTCCAAGGAGATTTGGGCCAGCCTGGTTGGGGCCCGCGAGTATAGCCTCTCGCTGGCCGCCCTCAGGAGTGCTTGGGTTGTGGGCTTCTCGGGACCCACCCCGCCGTGGAGGAAGATCTGCGGGCCCGCGGGGGCCCTTCGGCTCTCGGTGGAGCGTCTAGGATGAAAGATGACGAGCTTCAACATGCTTGTTGATGATTTCGGGGTGAAGTTTTCCTCACCCTGGTCCCGCCCTCCCTCCTTAAACGTCTCCTCCGTGCGGCCGTGCTTCGCAATCTGGAGAGGAATTATGGGAAGTCCCTGGGTCTTGATTGCAAGGTGTGTTTCGACTTGGCCCTAGCGGCCATGAGCTCATTCAAGCTGTTACCCTTCGAAAAGGGGGCCATACGTGGCCTCGTTTGCCAGGCCCTTTGGACGAAGACACGTGCCAAGGCCCACGGGTACATCCTGCCCGACCTGTTCTGCCCTCTCTGTGGCCTCGCGAACGACACCATGTTCCACCGGCTCTGGTTGTGCACGCACGAGTCTGTAAGCGAGATCCGAGACGAGATTCTCTGGGATACCTTCAAGGTGTAAGCCTGGCGCGTGGCATACGTTGTCGGGGGCGGAGAAGGTGTTGTATACGCTTGGGTTCTTGTTTCGCACCCTGGCGACTTCGTCCCGCCCCCGTCATAAACGGAGCCTACGTTCCAGCACCTTGATATTCCTGAGAAGGATGACTACAGAGTCTCAGGCCACATATTCATGGACGGCTCGTGTCTGAGGTCGGTCATCCGAAAGTTACCGCGGACGGGGTGGAGCTATGTATCGGTGCCCGACTCTGGGCAGGAGTTAGGTCATGTATATGCTCCCCTTCCCCGCCCCCTCCCCCAGACGGCCCAGGCTTGAGAACTTGCTGCCTGCAATGCTGCTTGCCAAAATGCTGTGGCCCCTGCTCAAGGGCACAGCGATCGCCAGAATGCAGTCGGCTTGTGGGAGCTCCCTGGGGCTGAACACCCCTCTCGCACAAACGAGTGCACGCAGGGATGCTTGTCTGGACCGCAGACGGTCAGGATGAGGGCGATGCACACGGTGGAGGCCCACGTGTCTGAGGAGCAGGCTGCGAACGGCGCACCTCCGCGTGTCAGGAAGGTGCGGTAACGACTCGGCTGACCACTGCGCGAAGCTCGGGGCGCTGGCGCGCGAGAGGCCCAGCCCTGAGCAGAGCGAGCGGTTGGATAAGTGTACCTCCTCCTCCTCCCCCTCCTCCTCCTCCCACTCCTTTTCCTCCTCCTCGTCCGCCTCCTCCTCCTCCTCCTCCTCCTCCTCCTCCTCCTCCTCCTCCTCCTCCTCCTCCTCGGCTCGGAGAGCGTATCTGCCGGCGGGCGCTGGCGCGCGAGAGGCCCGGCCCCGAGCAGAGCGAGCGGCTAGATGAGTGCACACCCTGCGAAATGCTTAAGAAATCATGGGTTAAGAAATTGATAGTCTCAGAACTTGAATAAAGACCCAACATGTCGATTAAAATCTTAAGATTTACATCGAAACGTTAAGAATAATCGAGACGCTGGCCGAAAACTCAAGTTTTCTTAAGCATCGCCTAAGGTGTACCACGCTTGCTCGGAAAGCGTAGCTGCTGGCGGTGAGAAGGTTGCCGCTCTGGCCTGCCTGCGCCCTGCCTGAACCCCTCCGTGCAAAAAAGTCGGGACACCGTTGGAAGCGAGTCGGCGGCACCTGGCAGCGTAACCATTGCCTATCGGTGCGTCGGGGCCTTAGTGGGCCCCGAAACAATTCGAGCTGCTCCAAGAGGCACGAGCTCCAGATCGACATCCTTGAGAAGCTGGGGCACCGCTGCGTGGGCCTCGCCTGCTCTGACGGAGGCATAGTTCGCGCCTGCCTGCTGTGCACAGCCTTTTGGCGTGGGACTCCAGTGGGCCACTCTCTTGGCCCATTTAGATGGCGACTACCTTGGCTTCGTCATCGTCCTCCTCTTCGTGGCGGATTAGACATTGAATCCTTTGTGGCGGATTACAGATTTTTTGTGGCGGGTAACACACGGAATCTTTTTGTTGCGAACTATAAATTGATTCCTTTTGTTGCGGATTACACATTGATTCCTTGGTGGCGGATTACATCTTGATTCATTTTTGTGGCGGATTGCAAAAGGAGTCTTTGTGTGGCGGATTACAAATGGAATCCTTTTGTAGAGGATTACACATTGATTCCTTTGTGGCGGATTTACACATTGATTCCTTTTGTGTGTAGAGGATTACATATTGATTCCTTATGTGGCGGATTGCAAAGGGAATCCTTTTGTGGAGAATTGGCGGATTACCTATTGATTCCTCTCGTGGCGGATTACAAAGGAAACCCTTTTGTTGCGAATTACAGAAGGGAATCCTTTTGTGGGGACCTTGAGCGGTCTGGACCTGTGTGAGGTGCCCAGGATGTATTAGATTGTTGAATTTCTGAAATTTCTTAACTTGTTTAAATAGGAAAACCACGTTCCGCTTGAGACTCTCTCAAAACTGTATAAATCAATTGAGCTTGGCTGCTGTAAAATCCGGAGGGAATCTCAAGCGAAACCTGCTTTTTCATTGTTTTTTACATTGATTTCACACAGAAAAACACAGTTTCGTTTGAGACTCCTTTTGGTGTTTACATCAGCCAAACCCAATGGATTTATAAAAATTTGGGGGCATGTCAAGCGAAACCTTGTCTTACTATTTAAAATATTTATAAAATTTTAAAATTCGAAAATTTATTTATAAATCCTGGGAACCTCTCGCAGGTTCAGGCCGCTAAAGATCCCTACAAAAAGGAATCAAGGTGTAACCCGCCACAACAGGATTTCTTCTGTAATCCGCCACACAAGGAATCAATTTGTAATCCGCCACAAAAGGATTCCCTTTGTAATTCGCCACAATAGGATTTCCTTTGTAATCCGCCACAAAAGGGTTCCCTTTGTAATCCGCCACAAAAGGAATCAAATTGTAATCCGCAACAAAAGGGTTCCTTTTGTAATTCGCCACAAAAGGATTTCCGCTGTAATCCGCCACAAGAAGAATCAACTTGTAATCCGCCACAAAAGGATTCCATTTGTAATTCGCCAAAAAAAGATTCCTTTTGTAATCCGCCACACAAGGAATCCCAGTGTAATCCGCCGCAAAAAGAATCAATTTGCAATCCTCCACAAAAGAAAACAATTTGTAATCCGCCACAAAAAAGGCTCCACTTGTAATCCATCACAAAGGGAATCCCTTTGTAATCCACCACAAAAAGAATCCTTTTGCGACCCGCTCTCCCGCACTCCCGCCCTCCCGCTCTCCCGCGCCCCCGCGCGCCCGCACTCCCGCCCACTGGCGGATTACAAAAGAAACAATGTGTAAGCCGCCACAAAAGGAATCCATGTGTAACCCACCACAAAAGGAATCGTTGCCGTCGCCGTTGCCCTTGTCCTCCTCGCCCCCCCCCCCTTCTCCAACTCCGCGTCGTTCGCCTAATTTTCCTCTGCCCCGCATCCGCATTTCACCCCGCCCTCGCCTCCCCCCTCCTCTCTCCTCCTTCACCCCAAGTTCCCCCCTCCCCGCCGCCACCCCAGCTCCCTCCTCACCCTGTCCTCTTCTGGCATCACTGACCCCTCCTCGCCCCCTCCCTCCCCCCCACCCGCTCCACAGGACCTTCCCTTATAATCCTGGTTCCCCTCCTCCGCCTGCATCCTGCCACCTCCCTCCTGCATCCCGCCTCCCCATCCTCCCCCATCCGCTCCCTTCACGTTGGTGTTACCATATATATATATATACACACATACCTATGGTTTATGGTATGTACGTATATCTATATATATATACATATATACATATATCAGACACGCGTAATTGCACGCATACGCATACTTCTTGCAAGCTCAGGCAACCATACAAACGCACATCCACAGACGCATGTGCACGCAAGGGAGGAAAGAGGGTGAGAGGGAGGGAAGGGGGGGGAAGGGATGGGTGATTATAGTAATGCGTGTGAAGGGCGTTTGTGAGGGAGGATTGAATGGGTGGGCGGAGGGAGGGATATGGTGCCCTCCCACTACCATGTTTCTCAGTGTCTACATTGACCACCCGCCCCCCCCCCCCCCCCTTCACTCCCGCGCCCTCTCCCTCCGTGCCGCCACCGCGCTCACCGCGCTCAAATAGGGAGGGAAGGGGGAGGAACGGTGAGAGGGAGGAGAGATAGAAATGGTAACGG